GTTAATGGGGTCCAGCCGCAGGGTCCGGTCGACTTGCTGGCTCTTCCTCCTTCGGTCCAGCCGGATCAGCGAGCTGAGGATCTTATCTCGGGGCTGCAGCACACGCGTGAGGTGACCCGTGCCCGGCTCGAGGAGGTGACAGCCGCGTATAAGCCTGGCGCGGATTCTCGCCGTCGGCTTGTCGAGTTTGACGTTGGCGACTACGTGTGGGCGGTATTGACGAAGGACCGCTTTGCTGCTCATGAATATAACAAGCTCTCGGCCCGCAAAATTGGTCCTCTTGAGATCATTGAGAAGATAAATCCGAATGCCTACCGTCTTCGGCTTCCTTCGCATGTTCGCACGTTGGACGTGTTTAATGTCAAACACCTTATTCCTTATCTTGGTGACAATTCGGACGACGAGATCGCCTTGGATTCGAGGGCGAATCCTTCCTAACCGGGGGGGAATGATGGCGACGAGATCGCCATGGCTTATTTGGAGAAATACGATCGACGTCGGGCTTAGACGTTTCACTATTGTTGCTGCTATTTATTTATCTACTGCTTTTATTTAATAAGGGATTTTTATTACTATTCTTATTATTATTAGTAGAAGTATTATTTCTTATTTAGTAGGGTTAGGAGATTATAAATAAGGGGAGACTTTCATTGTAACAGCAGCTTTTGTCGATTAATAAATTTATCTGTTCCTTTGAGTTTTATTTGTTCCTATGTATGCTTAATCTGCATCATGTTCATATTTAAAGTCTACCCATTTGCTCTCAGAGCGAAGCTTGATGTTTGCTCCTCTAATGATAGGTTCAAATACCTTCATTTCCACTAAGATGCACACTATCTATCTCTCCCAGTACGCATAATATGGGACTAAAACATCAAGGACATCACCCATTAGTTTCCTTATTTTCAATCCTATTTCATAAGCCACCCAGTGAAGAGGAAAATTGTGGATCTGGACCCACACATTAATTTCTCTTCAAACTCACTGAACTCAATTTGCCCAAGTTCCCATTTTTTCAACAGGATATACTGGCCGTCAAAGGACCACATTTTATGATTGAGGATTTTCTCTAAATCCTCCATAGATTTGAACACAAACTGAAAAAGATTAAAACCTATACATCTAATACAGAATGGAGACCTAGTATTCCAGATAAATCCCAGGGTAGATTTAAAGCCACTGGTATTAATCTTCTTGTCTCCATAGACCTTGCCGATGAGGCTTGTTCTACACTCATTAAGAGTTGGGGCAATATCCAAGTCTTTTAATTCGATCCCCTTCACCTCCTTATCTGAAAGAACAAACTTGATAAGCTTGTCGACAAGGTCCTCTGCCATAATCGGACCCCTAAGACCAAAACCTACCCAACCTAAATAACAAGCCACACCTGGAAACGCTACCCAACCCTACAACCTACACACAACCACCGATCAAACCCTAAGCACAAAGAGGCGAACTACGAGATGAGAAACAACCCGAAGAGCTCTAAACCCTAATCTAAAAACATAAGCAAAACACACTAACCCGAACCCAAAAGAGCATTGAACCCCTAAAAAACAAGAATAAGCGAGAAGCAATGGAGAATAAAAAATTACGAGAGAGAAATAAACGAAGAGGAGGGGAAAAGCAAACCCTAAAACCGAAATTTCAAAAGGAAGAGAGAAATATTTCACTAAGAGGAAACTCCAATTGTGAGTTATCCATTAGTGCAGTCTTCGCAACTTTTACATAGGCCTTTCCATAAACAATTGAACATAATATACACAATACATGAGACTAGAATCTCAATTCTCAATACATAGGCTCTTTTCATAAACAATTGAACATAATATAGACAACACAAGAGACTCGAATCTCAATTCTCAATACTCCAGCTCACTCACAAAATAAAAATTTGAATAATAGAGGAGATCTAGTTTCCACCGTAAACAGTGGGATACTTGGATATAAGATTTTTTTTTTTTTAAAAAAAAAAATTCAGTTATTTTTAGTCAATCATTTTTTAAGTTAAAATTTAATCCAGCTTTAATCCAACCACTATTCTCAATATTATCAATATAATGAAATAATATCAATCAATCATTGTTGCACATCACATCAACTTTAATATACAATTCATCCACTCCATAATTTTAACTAATTACCACTTCAAATCTGTCTCATACTTTTACATCAAATCAACTTTAACTATTTATTTTAAATATTAGTTTAATATAAACTCAAAATCACACTAATAATTTAGTATATTATTTTTTAGAATAAAAAAAATATATCCAATCCAAGCATAATATAAAAGTGTGTGTGAAACAAGACCATCCTTTTCAGTTTCCCTTCCCTATAGACGTGGCCAGTCAACAAGCAGTGACCCGACCCGCCGCGGGCCTCAATTTGATGGCCCGTAACCGGCTCGGCCAGTTCTATGGGCCGCTTCATTGAACCGGCCCTAAACCGCCGTGTCTCTGACCCTCCGGTTTTCGGTCGGTTCGAACCCATACAAGTGTCGTGCATCTTTCAACCCGCGGCCCGTCTCGGACAGTCGGGACAAAAAAAAAACAAAAACAACTAAGACCGAAACCGACCCGCATGACCAAGGTTTCGGTTCAGCGAACTGGCAAAATCCGGGGCCGTTGCTAAGAATAAAATATAAAAATAGTATTAAATGAGTGAGTAATGGGTCCCATATGTTTATGTTTAAATGAATGATTGAATGTGAGTGTATGTTTAAATTGAGAGATGATTAGTGGAAATATGACGTGGAGATAATGTGGATGAAAGAGAGTATAAATTGTGATTGAATGAATGTTAAGAGATGTAGATGCCCTTAGGGATTAAGTGTAGGTTTAAAAAGTTCACGGGACGTGGCCGGAGAGATAGTTGATAGGATCGTGAATAGTGTTGGCTAGACTAGAAGGGAGCTATGAGGGGAAGTGGGATCGTGAATCGTGATTCGTGATCGTGAATAGTTGATAGTTCGAGACTTGTAAGTCCATACTATGTCAATGAACGATTTATCAATGAAAGAGCTATGAGGGGAAGTGAGATGCTTCCCTGAAGAGTTTTAAATCTTCAATTTATTGCTTCCATATTTTACAATTCTTGTTCAAGTTCGTACGGTATTTAGTGCACTCCGAATCAATTATACGTTTCAATACAAATCTCTTTTATTTTGTGTATTAGTTGATTTTATTTGATTTCTTCAACTCGTTCAGTATTTTTAAACCCGTAGCCAGTATTCTCTACACTCAGAAAAACGCACACTGCTACACGTAGCACTGCTACTGCTACACATCTGTATGTATGTATGTATGCTTAATCCAATTAATATATATATTTTTTTTTTTAGTGTGTGTATGTGTGTTGAATAGTGGATTCAAAAAGGGTGTGTGTATCTTTGTTCTTTCCCATTTGCCTAATTTTTACTTGGGACTGTGTGGGGAAGGATGCATTGTTAAATTCAGGATCTCTTTGCATCTTTTGTCGCCCAAAGATTTCATCTTTTTACAACTCCAAGAGATTATTCATAGCCCATTCCCGCATTTTCTTCCTTTTTGTCAATTTCTTGTTTTTTCTCAGATCCCCAATTCTGGGCAGTCTTCAATTATCTCTCTGGCTCAGCGATTGGAATACACACCATGTACCAAAATGCCTTAAAAACCCTAGAAAGAGTTCCAATCTTTTTCGACCTTCTTCCTTAATCCGTCTACTGAGGAGCCAAGAAAAGGAGAAGAAGAAAAAGATCAAAGATCGGAAGCTCAGAATGTGGAAGCAATTTCTCGGTAAGCTCCCCCGTAAGTCCCTGAAATCAGATCAAGCTTCTTCGAGAAACCCTAATTCGGGGTCGAGCGCATCGTCCCATGGCTCTGACCGGGCTAACCCCAACAGCCCGGTAGCGAAACGGGCTTCTGCCGCCGTCTTTCCCTCCTGCGCGATTGCCGGGATCGAGCCGCTTCTGGCGTTCAAGGATGTCCCGAGCTCGGAAAGGATGAATCTTTTCATCAGCAAGCTCAGCCTCTGTTGTGTGGTGTTCGATTTCAACGACCCGGCCAAGAACATTCAAGAGAAGGAGCTCAAACAGACCACACTCCTCGAGCTTCTCGAATTTGTGTCCCAAAGCCCGCCGAAATTCTCCGAGCCTGCGGTCCTAGCATCTTGCAAGATGTGCTCGGTCAACCTGTTCCGTGCTTTCCCGCCCAACCGGTCCGGGAAGGGTAATTCGGGCGAAAACGAGAATGAGGAGGAGCCCTCATTTGACCCCGCATGGGCCCACTTGCAGATAGTGTATGACTTCTTGCTCAAGTTTGTGACCTCATCTTCTTTGGAGACGAAAGTCGCAAAAAAGTACATCAACCATTCTTACATTCTCAAAGTCATTGATTTGTTTGATTCGGACGATCCTAGGGAGAGGGACTGTCTGAAAGCAATACTCCATAGGATATATGGGAAATTCATGGTTCATAGACCCTTCATAAGAAAAAGTTTGAGCAATGTGTTTTATAGGTTCGTGTTTGAAAACGAGAAACACAATGGTATTGCAGAGCTGTTGGAGATTTTTGGGAGTGTAATAACTGGTTTTGCTCTGCCTCTCAAAGAGGAGCATAAGATATTTTTATTGAGGGCACTCGTTCCTCTGCACAAGCCAAAGTCTTTGGGGGTCTACTTTCAGCAGCTTTCGTATTGCGTGGGCCAGTTTATTGAGAAGGATCCTAAGCTGGCGAGCAGTGTTATCGAAGGGCTTTTGAAGTATTGGCCGATCACGAATAGTCAGAAAGAAGTGATGTTTTTAGGCGAGTTGGAGGAGATTCTTGAAGTGATTAACATGGCCGAGTTCCAAAAAGTTATGGTCCCATTGTTTTGTCGACTCGCACGCTGCATAAATAGCTATCATTTTCAGGTTTTCTCTCTCTTCTCATTCGATTATTATTTTTTTCTCTAATTTCACTAGGTGCCGCCTACTATGTTAAAGAGTTTCTAGGTTTTTGTTCTTGACAAGTCTATCAATATTGGCTTTTTTTCATTGTGAACCCAATAGAATTTACACAGACCTTCAAATATTAAGGTGCCGAGAATTTGGAGGGTGGGATGAAATGTGTCATGTGCGTGTGTGTGTATATTGTTCATTTTTTGAACACCTGGCTCTTGGAAGGTATAGCGTATTTATAGTCTTAATTTGATTTTAACCTATCTCGATTGCAGGTGGCTGAAAGGGCATTGTTTCTCTGGAACAACGACCAAGTCATTAATCTTGTCACCCAAAACCGGCAAGTTTTACTACCCATAATTTTTCCCGCTCTTGAAGCCAATACCAAAAGCCACTGGAACCAGGCAGTCCTCAACTTGACCTTAAACGTGAAGAAGATTTTTTCGGAAATGGATGATGCCCTCGTCTCGGCTTGTGTTGCCAGCTACCATGAGGAACAAGAAAGGAAAACCACGGAAATCGAGAAAAGGAATGACGTTTGGGAACGTCTGGAAAATGTTGCTGGTCAACAGCCGATAGCTGGAAACACAGCCGTTTTGGTATCCCACTGAGAAGTTTCCAAGTCCTTTCTTCTTTGAGCTTTCTTTTTCTTTTTTCTTTCTTTCTTTTTCTCTGGTTGATGGACATTAATAGGGCACGGTTTAGTTTTGTGAATGTATTTCAAAGTTGCAGGTCTAATGGGGGTAAAATGACAATGAAAGCCTGCAGTTATTGAAAAAATGTAATATGCTTGTGTTGTAATTATGTGAACCTTCCCTAGAACTCAAGGGAACGGTTCTCTTAGGCGTAGTACAAACAAGCTTCCTTGTTAATTTTTTTTTTTAGTTTCTGCTTGGTTGTATGTTGTTGTATTTTTCCAAGTTGACAATTATATATAAACGGTTCTTGGTTTGTTCAATTTAAGCGTTGTAAATTGTGTCCAAGTTATTCATTGCGTATAATTGACCGATTTTCGGTGGTTGTTCTGTGCTGCGGATGTGTTCTTCGTGCTTGAAGGTACAAATTCTTTATCTTTAACCTAATTCGATTTTGATTTTATCTTGGTCTGTTAAGCGTTTCAAAACCGTCGCATTGTAATTGTGTTCACTAATTTATCTTTGCCTGAATATGTTAGGAGTGAGGAGTAGCAATTCACGCGAGCCATCTACTGCCTTCGATTCGTGGGTTGGTTTGAGGAAAATTACAGGGAAGTTTTCTTAAACCTGTTTCAAATTACAGGGAAGTTTTCTTAAACCTGTTTCAAATCTTCTATTAAGAGTTGTGTATTTGTTTTATTAGTTTTGTTATGTAAATCGAATGGGATTTTGTTTCCCGAATATAAATGGAAAAATAACTCCTCACCACTTATATTTTTAATTATGACAATAATGCTAAAATAATTCTTTTGGTATTGACAAATATATATTGAATGGAATATTGAATGGATTGCTCATTACATGCTGAAATTTTTAGTATTCTGACTTTTTGGTTGATAGTTTGATTAAATATGTTTGTTTTCTTGTTACAATTCTTTTCTTTGTTCTTGGAAATAAATAAAAAATTATGGTGGATCATTCTTCTTTGGATGCTTTAGTGGTTGTTGGGGTATTTCTCTTCATGCCTTGATTTTTTTTTTTATTTTTTTTTTTTGGTTAAAAGTACCTACCACAATAAAATATATATTGAATGTATTGGTTATTATGTGTTGAATTTTATAGTATTCTGACTTTTTGGTTGATAGTTTAATTATGTTTGTTTTCTTGTTACTTATTATTTTTGTTGTCATTTAGCTAGTTTTATTTTTATTGTAAAGAGAATCATAATCTTTGTGTTTTCATAAAGAATATTTACAAGATAATGTATGTTAGTTTAGAACACATAAGAAAACATGTATGTTAAGGATTAGTTAAAACTATATTTGCTTTTTTTATTTTTAGTTTTTTGTAGTAAAAAAAAAAAGCATATCAAACAATCTGTTCAGTGGCCCATATAGTTATCTTTTGAGCAATTCTTGAACAACACTTCTCGACAGGTAGCCAAAAATTATGTTGGAACATTTTTTTTTTTTTATTGTTTTAGTGGCTATTGTGATAGTTTTTGGGATTAATATGGTCTTGGATCCTCTACATGTCACGTCACGTTCTATCTTAAAATTCCTTAGCATAACAAATATATATTGAATGGATTGGTCATTACATATTGGAATTTTAAGTGTTCCGACTTTTGG